CCGAGTACGAAGTGTCGTTAACAAAAAGAAAATGTATGTAACCTTTTTTGCAAAGTTCAGTTTTCCAATGTCATCACTATTCAATGAACATTATAATTCCTTCTCTCACGGTTACATGCCAATTCCTACAGACATATTAACGATTGACAAATAAGTCATTAACGATTATCATTGGAGGAATTTTAACAACGAAGTTGACAACTACATATATTCGAGTGTTATTGTCGAACATTTTATTTATTTTAAATCATTGTGATATTCTTTGGTCAAAATAGTACGGTTAAGAATGAACCATGAAATTGAATTTTTAAATTCAAGTCAGAAAATTCTAAGTTGAAATGTTTACACTAACAATTAATGAACACTTTTGCAAAGTACTGTTCTTGTGGTTCAGATATTTCTGACGTTCTGAGCTCGGTAGAAGTCTAACAATGCAGAAGGGTTCAGTAGCTGCGATTGAACTCCCAAGAGTAGCCCGAAAGCGAAACAACACATTAATCAACCTGTTAATCAAAGAGTCTGGAAATGTATGAAAGCAAACAAAACAATCTTACTATATGATCCTGCTTAAACCATTAGCAACAAGGTTTATCAGCAATACATCTCAGGGCAAGTTTAGCCGTTAGAAAGGCATCGTGAATAAAATAGTTTTGTCTAAAATCTGTATTCATGACACTTTTATCCCATGTTTTTCTGAAATGAAAAGCTAAGGAGCGTTGACCCGCAACATTCTCCAGTGGAACTTACAAGCACACCAGATAGAAAGCTTTACCTCAAAGCATACGTTGGAACGTCTGCGAACTTTTTTTCCAATTAGTATACATGAGTTCTATTAAATATGCCAAGTTTCGACTACAACTTTTACTGATTTTTTTACTAATCTGACATTTATTGACAACGTAAATTTCAAATGGCGCACATTAATACGATTTGTTTTCGGTTTAAGAAAAACAACTATGCGTCCGAACTTTACGATAGACTTCATGTGCTTATTGTAATGGAAACTTTTATTTTTTTATCCGCTTCTTTTCTACGAAATCTTAAAAGTTTTCCGTGCAAAATACCTTATAACAGTTTCAAACCTCTACCTAAACCGGGCTCGTGATTCGGCTTTTGTTCCGCGACATAAGAACTTTACCATTATTGCTAATCGAGCCACAAACAAAATAACAGCGAGTCTAATGCGCTCGCGTGTTTTCCAAAAATTCAAATGTGAATTAACTGCTCTGGTAACGAATCGTGACAAAATAACGTTAACATTCGCCGCATATATTCAGTCCTTCCTCTTTACAAGCAATCAGTCACCACCATCGCAAAACCCTAACATTTCCCCACCTTTTACTTTTAAAACTTTCATCTCACACATTTTATTTGTCTCATTCGTTATTTCCTTTCACTTACTCGCCCAAATTATTAGCTGTCATTTTCAACCGTACATAAACAAATGTAAAGTTTCTAAACAAAAAATAATTACGTTCTGGAGATACTCCGGATAAAATAGACATTCAGATCTTTCGGTACCAGTATCAGCGTTACTGTTTTCATAATAAAGAATAAAGGAGACGGTCGATGATTCACCACATGGAGGCTGTGAGGAAGTGCCTCGCGACCGCTGACGCAACGCGTGCCCCCTACACGAAATGCCGGAAGACTTTTTGAACCATCCACTCTGCCGGGTAACGAGCGGTCAGGGAGGATGAGGAAAGAACTGCTCCTCTGCCGAGGTCACGCAGATCCATAAGGAAAGCGTGGAACACTGCTGACGGTCTTCGTAAGTTAAGATTGTGATGTAACTATAGTTCATGCAAGGCTGCCGAAAGAAGTATCGAAGAAGAAAACATTACGTGCATTATGCGTTCGTGATAGCAGTTGATCATCTGGTGGCAATTTGCCAAAGCGGCTTATGCCGTGAAAAAAAATTGCCAAAAGTGTAAATAAGCTAGCAATTATTAAGCAACATTACGTTATCAACTTTGAGGAATTAAACCATTTTTTTAAAATAACAATGAAGGAAAATTATCCATAATAGAGAAAATACATTCACAGATGTTAGATAAGATCTAACATGGGAGGAAGTGCGTCAAAACCTAACTGAAGCAACGGCTCGCTGTCACTGCAAATAGCAGTAATAAAAATAAATTTAAACTGAAAGACTCTTGATATCGACGTAAACATCAAAACGACGCAGATGAAGACAAATGGATCACACATCTGGCATGAAAACTTTTTATAAAAGTGTATACTTAAAAGGCAACATACGAGCAACTAGGAATTTACCGATAGTATCCGACTATTCTTCCCACAAGATGCCCGGTCAAGGAGATTAATGCACAAAATTATTTTGCAGTCAAATGGGGTCAATCGCGATAAAGTTCAAGGTGACTTACTGATTAAATTATTTTTCTTCATATCGGTGAGTCACTACTAACATTTCGCAAACCAATGTAGCTCTTGATAGATTTAGTTGAACTTTCACACATTTACTGCCTACAATTATATAAACTTACATGTTGGCAAAGCGAAGCTTTCAAAATCAATTTCAACAACTTCTTTCATTCCCTTCTTGTTCAGTATTCGCACATAATTTGAAATCCAGATGTTTAATTATGAACCAATTATTAAAATTAAAGCGTTTTCACTTAAACTAGAAAGAAGTATTTCGCTACACGACGAACTTTACAACACAAAAACTAACAATTTGGGGTAGAATTAAGGTAAAAAAGTAATTCTTTAAAATAGATTATCAACAATTTAGTAAGCACAATGGATATTGTACTATTTTAACTTCACGTATTTACTCGATTAATCAAATTTTGTTTAGCTCTTTCATTAAAAGTTGCTACTTTCTGAGGAAGTGCTTATTGCAGAAAGCGCACAGCTTTTTACAATACCTTTAAGTTACCCCCACCCCCCAGTTTTTTCCATTTAACCTTAAAATGACATTCTCGTTACGCCTCTGGATCAGTTCTGGGGAGAAATAATTATCTATATTGGGCCAACGACTGGCTCGTGCGTCCAAAGATCTACGAGAAAAAAAAGCGAATGCTCGCAATGTCAGGGTTGGCCTAGCGGAGCTGTATGAACCGAGATGCGTCGTACGATACGGGCGATGAGAGGCGGCGCCGCGAGGGCGACGCTCCCGTAGAACGAGGAGCGAGGGCGTCTGGGGCAGAGGGAGGGGAGGGGAGGGGAGAGGGAAGGAGAGGAAGGGAAGGGCGGGCGCGGAGGCGAGCGGATGCGCTGCTGCGCGTCGCCCGCGCGCGGCGCACAGGGCGGCAGCCCGGCCCGGCCGCAGGCAACGACCTCTGCGATGCGCCGGCCGCGCCCCTTGCCACCGCCGCGCCGCAACCCGCGGCGCTCGGAGCGTATCAACGGGATGCATACCCCTCGCGCGCCGGCGGGGATGACCCGCAGGGAGCGGGAGTGGGAAGGGCAGGGTTGTCAACAACGACCCACTGGGACCAGTCGACGCGACAGGATGATCGTATGAAATAATCATCAGGTATTTATCCTGCACCTTCAGCATCCTGTTTGTTTTGGATTCATTTTTTCATAAAGGAAAAAAGATCCTTTTAAATGAATACGTAAGAAACCTTGGGAAATAAGTTAACTTTGGAAATAAAGAGAAATGCGTGAAAAAAAACAAAAAAACACAGGCAATGAAGATTCTGTCTTGAAATATATTTCAAGTGCCTGAATTTTAAATATTAATGTATAGTTTTTTTTTTATTTTTCACACACACACACACACACACGCGCGTCTTTAAAAATAGCTACAATTGCTGATTCAAATAACCTCCAATGGCAAAATCAAATTTTTTCGTAATATAATCATTTATCACATTATTAAGATTTTATACAATTTTATCAATCAGTATTCGAAGACCTACATATTTCATAAGAATTGACTGAACGTAATTCTCTTCCTGAGGAGCGAATTTCACACAGCTGCAACATTTTGCATCATCCTACTCTTAAGATAGGGCGCGCCTTCAAACAATCATCCGCTCTCCGTACGTCATCTAATCACGAATATCCTCCCGTAGGAGTTCATTATTATTAATCGAAGTTGAGAACGCCTTGCCAATGAACAGATCAACATTTAATTTTCCATTCACAGTATATGAGATTTATTGACGCAAACAAGTTATTTCCTTGAAGTGATTTTCTAGAACCCCATCACGTTCCATGTTGCGAAAAATTTGTCCTCTAGTGCTGGCCTTTACTTTAAAATATAATAGTTCATCTAAGAAAATGATCAATAGCTTGTGATTCTAATACAGTTTGCAATGGCTGAAGGGCACTGTTCTGTCTGGTAAATAAATTTAGTCAAAGCGCGGGAGGAAAATATGAAATAAAGAGCTCGATCCTTTTCAACTTCCCAACATGCACTGAGCTTACTACTCCACCTTACACGCTCACATGAAGACAACAGAAGGGGGGGAGGGGGCAACGAAACAATATACTCTTGTATTTTTTAAATATTAAAGTAAACATTATGTTCGATATTTTGCTACTCTCAAAAACATTACTAATTTTTTAGGAAGCGTATATCTAAATACACAAATATTTTCGTAATTGATACCGAAAATTAGTGCCTATGAATAATGTGGTATATTTGTAAGGAAACATTTCAGATCATTTACGTGAAAAATCTGATCATATAGTTTGTGTTGCACGCTTCAGTTTCCATTTAGATAATTTAGAAGCTGATCGTTAATTCAGTTTTATCTTCAGGCCAAGAAAACATTTTTGGTGATTGTCCAAGAAAAAAATTGTTAATGTCTTTTAGAAGCAGTTAATACGGACGTTACGAAAAAAATATTGTTCATACTAACATTTTTCCACTGCTTATATACATTTCCCATATTATGCAATGTCCAAATGGTGTTTGAAGAATATTTTCCCCTGTGACCGTATTAATAGGTTCTAAAATCGTTGGTAGAAAGAAACGCACGCAGGTAAACACAAACTGCAATGTGGTTGGTCGGCCACTCACTTTTGACGAGGCCCCACACAGACTTGCGGTACTTGATCTGGCCGAAGACGTTGAGGCAGCTCTCCCTGTCGCCCGTGCGCGTGAGGCAGTAGTGCACGAACACGTAGAAGGAGTCCGCGTACGGGATCCCGCCGTTGTTGGACTCCACGTCGATGGCGTACAGCTGGCCGGGCTTCGAGCACGGCAGCATCACCTGCGCAGGTGCGCGCCGATTCGTCAGCAAGGGGGCAAGGAGTGAAAGCCTCGATTTCAAAAAAAAAATACTTCCAGGAAAATACAAATGGTCATAATTCTAATTGAAATATCTTATAATCCACGTAGGAGGTGTACACCATTCACGATCAACCACTGAAATAATAAATTTGTCACTGTGACGCGTTTTTAAGAAAGTTATTTATTGAAGGACTCGTCACGAGATTAAATTATTGGTCGTTAACTTTACGTATTAGTAGTTCGAACACTTTCTGCAGTGGCCGGAGTGTATTTCACTCATTGCGGTAAATGGCTTTGTCGGTTTGAGAGACGTTTGCATGTACGAGTACACTCGACTCAGGTCTGCGTGAAGGCAGAGAAGAAGGAATGACGGGGTTAATGTAAGGCGAAAAATTAACTCCCAGAGGTGAAATATGAAATCACAAATGTCGGAAAGGGGCTATGGCCTGAACTACGAAAACAAATTAAACATCAGGAGGAAATACAACAGCACATACTTCCTGGTTTAATTTTTAAAACTGTTACAATATTATGCTACTAGCGGTACCCGTGCGAACTCTTCAATAACTAAAAGTACTGGCAATTACCAAAAAATGTTTGAAAATTCTTAAATTTTAATGAAAATGGCACTTCCGCTATTGAATGCAGTGTATTGTCCATTCCTAAAAAAAGAAAAAAAACTAGCCCTGATTCTTGAACCGGCGTTTTCACACGCACAGTACGAATTTTCCACCGATACCTAATATATAATAAGAGATTTTGTGAAAAAATTATAAAAGGAAGTAATATTTGTAATTTGAAAAAATGTATTATGAGGAACTACATGAGAGTTTATTTAAAGCATATGAGCCCTCTCATGCTTTCAATTATAAACCATACCAGTAATATAAATATTAAGAATGAAATGCGTTAAAATCTCATTTGAAAATTTTAAAAATTACGAAGCTTTAATCAGCATCGCGGTGAATGATTTTGTGCATTGTGTTCTATCCATAAACTTTCCTCTAGTTGAAATTTTTTAAATAACAAAATTTATACACGTTTTCAGACATTCCTGTCAAGGCATTTTTGTATAATCATCACGATTTACTCAGAAGTGCACAAAAACGACACACGCCGACGCGTCTCGACACCTCTCCCTCGAATATATCCCACAACATAGACCCACGGGGTCTCGGCGCAGGTCGCCTCGCGCCCCACCCACCGCCTTCGCGGGCACCTGATCTCTCAGCTCCCACGCAGAGCCGTTTCGCTGTCTCAAATTTCAGGGGTATAAAGTCCGTTAAAACACTTTGATCTCTCTTACGGGACCGCCTTTCGGCTTATCTAAAAAAAATGTACGTAATACGAAAGTTTAAGATGTAATTTTGAATATATAATTGCATTTAGAAAAAGTGGCTCATACAATGTAGTTTTAGGACAGGGTCGAAAAAATTGAGTTTTTGGAATTTTCAAAATATAATTTTGGGGAAAATCCAGTGTTCGGTTTATGCACTACTGTAGCGTTATTCGAACTGATGTGCGTCTCCCAAGGGAGGCGCAAAAGTTTTACAGAGGAAGCGCGATAACTTCGTAATAATTTAATTAAGTAATGTTCTAATGTTTCATAATGCTCCGATTATTTCTACATGAATAAATTACTATCAGACTATGTATATGCCTTCATAAATTTTAACGATAGGGGAGAAAACATTTGTATAATACGTGATTCTTTCTTGCAACACTCTCCGAAATTTGGTGCTCCGTTAAGAATCTGCATCTAGAATTAAGTAAGAAGACCTCGCATGTTCTGCTTTATTTTTCCACTTCTGACGTATGTGAAAAAGGATTTTCAGTCAGGGCGGTGATCAAGAAAAATCTAGATCAAGAATAAATCTCCCGAATGAAATGCGTACGGAAATTTCTAAATTAGTGCCATGTGAAACCAAAGAAACCTTTTCTGAACTATCAAAATGTTGGTTATTTGAAGTTTTCTTTTCTTTGGTAACATTAAATAAATTTATTTATTACAATAGTGAACAGTGCAACTCATTCACATTAATTATTTTGTCACTAAGTATATAATAAAAAATGTACATGATCGCCTTACTTTCTCGAAAAAAAATATTTACTTGTTATTAATTATTAACAATTTAGGTTATGTGGGGAAGTGTGTGCTGAATTTGTTACCTGAAGGGAGTTACAGCAGCCAAAAGTTTGAAAACCAATGCACTATTGCATTGTGAGCAAGCACACAAAGAGAGGTTTTGAAAGTAAAGAAAAAAGAATATAAAAACTTTTGCACAATGACACATGCACATGCTTACACCCACAAACATACAAACTGAAGTATAAAACAAAGCTCAACATTGGGTCTCAGCCTGGAATGTTTAATTGAGGAGCTTCTTTGACAAAGCACTCCTAATGAAATTCCAGGATCATTCAAGGGAAGCAAAAATCTTTATACTGAGTCTCTTGCTTTTATGTTGATTCCTTTTTATGTTGATGCCATAAAGCACTCTTGACAAAAACTAGAATCTAAACAAGGTTGCAGGTATATCTGCTTTTCCATGCAACTGGTGTTGCATTTTACTTACAGGTTCATAAAGATATTTTTTTTAATATTCATATACTTTCCCACAGGAGCTCCATCATGTTGTGACAGCTACGAAGCGCAAAAATGATGCAATACAGAATTTGAATAGAATTAGGAATTTCCTTCAAAATAAAAAAAAGGGAATATGTGAAGTAATCCTTTCATATCCTTATTGGTCTAATTACTTACACATAAGACGCACACAGTAGTGGAAACGTTCCTAAAACTATATGATCATTGAAAGAAATGTATCCCTTTTCCATTAGTCTTAAGGCAGAAGAGTACAGGACTGTCCATAAATTACATAAAGCAAATAAAAAGAATTTTGAGTAGTCCCTCCCCTATAATGAAACCTGTAATGCACACTTTAATGTACTTCATAAAAATTACCAAATTAATGTACTCCATAAACGTTGTGACACCCCCCTATTAACAAGTAAAAATAAGTTACATAACAGTAAAAATAATTTATATTAATTTTATGTGTGGTACATATTAAAATTTATGAAAATTAAAATCAGAATTAATTACAATGCTAACAGCATCTAACAAGATATTTGAGAGGTACAATGTTTGAAGGGAGGATGCAAAGGCAAGAGAGGAGGAAATTTGTCAACAAGCTATATACACGCTATCACGGATGCAAGAACAAGAGTCCACAATGCCAATTTAATTAGATTTTAGAAATAACTGTAGATAAGTTTTGAATGTGTTCTTTGAATCTAAGATATTTAATTACTGTACCATTGACATAAAATATTTCTAGTTATTGTAAAAACTTATACATTAACACCATTTAATTCATTTATTGTTAACGTTTTAATGTGTTATAAATGACTAAATGAAGAATTGTTTCAGAAAATGTTGGAAAAAATAATAACCATGGTCGGTAACACTAAACAAACCCTCCCCTCCCCTATGTAAAACAGTGTAACACTGCCTCACGCCCCCTCTTTAGCATTATATAATTTATGGACAACCCCTAAATACATCCATGGATCCACTGATACAAAATAAACAAGAATGGGCAGTCTAGTGGTACTTAAAGTTCTGTTTCAGTTTAAGCAATCAGGATGTGCAAAGGAGAAGACAACATGGCTGACCAACTGTGCCACTATGACACACCTGCAGTCATAATACTCTGACTTTCAGATATGATACTGTGCTGATGAAAGTTAATCACAAAGTCAAATGCTAAACTACTTCATTAATCTGCAGTAAACATCCTTCAAGGGAACCACACATTGTCCAATCATAAAATGCTGAAACTAGACTGAACTCTGAATGCCATCTGCTGTTAACTACAAAATAATCTCAATAACCCTGTGTTGATCAGAACCTGGGTGTATTGGATTAAAAAAGAAAAAAGGAACTGATTGATCAAATGTAATAGAACAGAGAAACAAAATACAAAAATATTTTATAGAATGAAAGAAAGCACATTTTACTTTCAATGTTTTGCAGAAAATCTATTTTCTTAAGAAAACAATACTTTTGGTGAGAATTTTTTTAATGAAATGAATTAAAGGAAATAAAATTATTCACACATTCATTTGAAAAAGGAATTTAAGGCTTAAACATCACGAAATAATATTAAAAGTACTAAAATGAATCATCATTACTAGCACGACAACTCAGAATCTTTGCCTCCAATATAACTCTTTTCACTCATCTCTAACCAATGCCGCACACCACCATCATCTTATACCTATTCTTCTTGAACTATTATTCACTTCAACTACTGTTCTTTATCTTCCCCTACTAATTTCACCTGGTTGTACCATTAGTAGCCTTTGGGGTATTCTCTCATTGTCCGTCCTTTTAATATGTCCCACCTAATTAACCCTTGCAACTTGAAAAACCAATCCAAGTATTATCTAGGCTATCCAGGATCAGCTGCATCTCTGGACAAGTCGCGTATCTACCAATGTCAGTTTAAATCTTGCATTAAACGATAAATCTAATGTACTTCTGCATATTCCACTGTTCTGCACTGGTCCATAAATTCTTCAAAGGATCTTCCATTCAAAGGTATCTAATTTCACTTCATCTGCCTGACAAGATAATTTTTCCTTCTTCTTTGCAATTCTAACAAAATTATATACAATTAATTTATTTGAAACTTATGTATAATAGATAAATATTAGAGACAAATTTATCTTTTGCAAACACAAAGTCAAAATAGCTGATCGGGATAGTTGAAGTCACTACGGCCGAAGAGCCATGGCTACATCGGCACAAAAGGCTGCAAGTTCGAATTCTACCCCGGGCTTGGTGGGTTCATGCTTTCCTTACGTGTTCCCCTTACAGTTACCAGTATGTTAAAAATCACAGTGGTTACTACATGATCTAGCAGTTAAAACTTTTAATTAAAAAATTAATAATAATAATAATAATAATAATAATAATAATAATAATAATAATAACAATAATAATAACAATAATAATAACAATAATAATAACAATAATAATGTGAAAATAATTTACATTCAAATATTCAATTCCTTCCATGCTTATTAGTACATGCACATCATCTTTAAAGGACTTTCTAATGAAAGACATTAAAACATCTTAAAGTGTCATTAAGTTTCGTCACTAATTCAGATCTTTGAGAGTTTTCAGAAGAAATTCTTTCATTTTCTCACTTTCTTGCACTTAATTCCAATTTATCGAATACTTCAGTGATCATATTTACGATTTTCAAAATTTATTTGTCTTTCAAAATTCTCAAGATTTTCACATAACTTTGTAACCAAACCGTAATAGCAATTTCTGCTTTTATGTTGAAGTTAGCAAGAGCTTTATCAACAATATTTAATAAAAATACAAATTTTATCTAATTTAAGGAAGGTCCAACAGTAACTTCTTTAAAAGAACAGAATTTAAACCTTACACAAACAAAAATTCGAGTTTTGGACCCTTTTTGAAAGCAAATCATAGTTTTAATTCAAAGAAAAGAAACTATTAGTAAACATTTTCAACTTAAGATATGCTTATGAAATATGCTTCACCCATTGCATCTAATGGAGCCTTAAAAGAAAAAAAAAATTCTCTATGATAATAAACCAATGGGGTACCAATCTTCACTTAAACAGGGAGGTGTAGTTAAAGTGTAATTGTAAGTATACTTTAGTGACTGTTATAATTATAACACTCTTTATTTTCAATCTGAAAAATTCAAGACAATTTTTCCAAACATCAATTTCTACATACATCAAGACATTCCAGGTTCATTTCTCCCTATATTGCAATTCAGACACCCCTACCATTAAAAGAAGCCCACATCCATTGGCAGGCACATTGGGGGCCGAAGCTCCTAGAACATTTCGACAGTGGCCCTGTATACTTGTGTAATATAACATTTTTCTGTAAATGTTTTCATCCCTGACTTTTTGCCCTTCTAACCTGCCAAATTTGTTACATGTTTGGGGAAGAGACTCTCCAAAGCCATCCAAGAACTCTTAAATGGTTAATCAGAAAATCCAGTAGTACATATTTATTAATTGTAACCAAGTTATAATTTGATTCTATATAAATATATTTGATTCTAAAGTTATAATATGAGAATATTACATAATTATTTTCTTTAGTAAAATGTCATGAGTAAAAAAAAATTTAAATGGAAAAGGAAGACTCGAAAAATGGAACCTAAATGTTATAGGCAGCTTACAACCTACACCCAAGTCTGATCACTAAAAATATTAATGTAACTGAACTTTGGAATGAAAAATGAAAAATTAACATAGACAAATGCTTTTGTGTTATGCAACTCCTTATTAAAATGGACTGCAGCTCTATCCTTATACTCTTTCCTTTTTCTCTTGGATGGTTATTTCAGTCAAAAAATGAAACTTCTGCTCACCTGTTGCTCACACACTTGAGTTGATTTAGGTCCCACAGATGCACTCAAGGCCACAGTCATTGTGAGTGTGCGCTGCTTCAGCTGCGTCTCTGTGTTTTGTTGCCACGGTGCCAGCACAATGTCTGCAACAGGTAGAGACAGTCATTACTCATTAACCTTATATCCCTACAGAAGTGAAAGATGTTGTGCCTAACCATTCCATCTATTAGGAATACACATTTCATGCTTCTTTCCACTTGCTTGGTCTACCTCTGTGCACATCACACAAAGAATAAATCTACAAAATACCTTGAAACTTTAAGAAAGGAGGAAAATGTTAATTTTACCAAAATTCAGAGAAATATAACATTAATATTCCTGGAGTCAACTTCCTTTAATAATAAAAGTGGCTTCAATCATTAGGTTCACATTTAAAAATTCAAAAATAAATATTATAGATTCCAAATTCTCTTTGGAATAACTGCATTTAATATTGATGACAATTCCCAGAGAAGACAATCTCATTCAATTAATCAATATCCTTTCAGTATCAATAAAAAATTTAAAAAAACAAATTATTGTTAAAAATCAACCCCTCTTAAGTTCATGATTGAAGCAATGTCAGAATTGGAATTCTATGAAATAATACTGAATTCACAGCATTATAAAAAGGGTCTTCATCCACATCTCATTTATTTAGGCATTCACTTTTACTAAAATAAGAATTTTCCACTATTTTATCAAATTTATAAATATATCCTTTTTATATTTTTCCTTAAAATATTTCTATTTCACAATACCAAATAAATAAAAAAAAATATAAACATAGTTTTTACGCAATTACCACTTAATACATATAATGTACAGGTTTTGAAACTGATACAACCCCACAAACTTTTGATAAGAAACTGGATTACTAGTCGAAAAAGGATGCACTATAAAACAAATAATTTCCAATATAAAACTAATCGTTATAACGAATTCAAGATTCTGTTCTTGAAAATTGTAACAATTTACATAAATAAAATTAAATTTGTAAACAACTATATACAACAGTATTGAAGTAATTGAATTTAAGAATTTAACCTATTTCAAACCCAGGCTCTAATAAGGAGTAAAAGCCTGGTTTAGGAACTTCGACTTCTGTTAGCCAAAGATTGCCTGCAACAGCCTTTGAACTTTCATTTAGGTATTTGAAGGTTTAAAAATAAATTAATTAATAATACATTTATATTTCAATTCATAGGACAGATTTAGTAAAACACTTATTTAGTTGTTGTAACTACTATTATTTACTTTCATTATCATTAAAATACCACACAATTTAATAATACATAATCTAATGATTACTAATATCGTGCTTTTATAGAAGGATTACATTGTGAAGTGGATTTAGAAAAAAACAGGTTTATGTTTTTTTTACTTATTTAGGATAGCCATAAACATTTAGAATGATGATGAAATTGCTTCAAGATTATATGCATTTATGTCATTTATCATAATTTATACAAAGAGCAATGTTGTGCCTTCTTGTTCCAATAAACTTTTTCATAGAAATAATAAATATCTATCCATTATTTTGAATTAACAACATGCCACACTCATGATTAGCAAACATTTGTAAGTAAATACATATTTTTAAAGAAACAAGAGTGTCTGGGGAGGAAACGTCAAAACTTCAAAATTTGGCTCTTAAGACAATTTGAAGCATATTTTGTCTAATAAACGACTGGGATATTTTGAAGGGTTGAGCCACAATAAGCTCTCAAACTTTGGGCTTGTTTCTTGCTTGGCTTGACTTGCTTGCTTGCTCTCAAACTTTGCTCTTGCTCAAAGCTCTCAAACTTTGGGCTTGTTTCTTGCTTGCTTACTTGCTTGCTTGCTTGTCAAATCATTGCAAATTGCAACCACGCATGATTACCCAAGTTCAGTAAACCCCATGCACACATTGATCGACATACGACAATCATTTTTTTACGACTATTGTCTTATCGCACTTCCTGCACCTTGCTGAAAAACACACTCAGGGGTGCAAAATTTCAGAACCTATTCATTAAATGATGCTCAGGGTTAATGGCCAAAATAACTGCAGTCATTTGCAATGTTATGCGATTCATTTGTGGTAATTGCTTTCAATAATTTGAGTTCCATCACAAAAAATGGTAGTCTGGAGAAGGTGGAAGGTTCTTTTACTCCTTATCCCCTTCCTGGTCAGTCATTGACGTCTCGGGATGGTACTACTCTTCATTGGTGCACTGGCTTCCGTAAACAAAAATAATTTTGTCTAAATTGCTTTGAAAAAATACTTTCATAGTATGTATGTGTATATTTTGCTTCTTTTATTACAATAAATTCAGTTCTCTACTCAATGTTTGGGAAGCTTCAGGATCCTAAACACACTATCAGAAAGTTATAACCATTCTTCAACAACTTACAAATACTATATCAGATTGGATGTAAAAACACTTGTGTTTATAAAAAAAAATCAAAAAAAATAATAATCAAGGGATGCATATTTTGTAGTCTTGAGAGAACAACCCACCAACACCATGACATTCATAAACTTAATGACTTTTCCTGTTTTTTCACATGTCCTGGTGATACTATTTTTATACCTGCTTCACACATCTTTGCCATAGTAATTTTAGGTTTTGCAACTTAAGTTTGTCCTTACACAAGAATCAGAATGATTCCTAAAGACTTATGACATCCACTATATTTTTTTTGTTTTGTATTTTCAGCTTTTGGATAAATAACTCCCATCTTGATCAGGTTTTTTCATCACCTTTTTCTGATCCATTGAGCAAATGCTAAGATGACCTCTGGACAATAATCTAGCTAAATTATGCACACATTTTGTTGAGCTCCTTTTTTGCTAGTTGTGAAAGGAGTGGAACCAGGGGCATGAATTGCATTTGGTTAGTGACAAAAACACATCTGGAGTTAATTTACCAATGCACATAAGTTTTCCGTAAGTCAAGAGTCCAATTTTGTCCAGAAATGTCCAATTTTTAAATGTTGCTTCCCTCACTTCATTGATACTTTTATTCATCATTCAACCATGTGTGGAACATGTGGGGGGGAGAGGGGGGAGAGATATTCTAGAGCTTAAAGAAACGTGTGCCAATTATAATTCTGCCTTATATCTTACCTATATTTTTACTGTCCTCCGATGAAAAATCAAAACACATGAGTAACTAAATATCTTAATTTCTTAGGAACTGAATTATATTCTAATTCCTTTTGTAAGTTTATACCAAGAACCATTGTTTCTAATCTTCACTATAGTTGTTTCTGAACCTATATTCATAATAAAAGATTCATAAACAGATGCAGTTAATAGCTACGATAGTATTTTGCAACCATCTATTTTTGTAAGTTGTATAGATCACTTAATTCTTAACTTACAATAAGTGTAATACTTAAAGAAGTGTAAGTTTAAAAAAATCTTATATACTTCCTTAACAAAATACTATTCATCACTTATTTTGTAGATTTCTTGCAGTAGTTTCACAATTCCCTGGTAATTCCAGAGCAAATCATTGCTGTACATTCTACCTCTGCTCAGAAAAGTCATTTCTGTTTACATCACAAGCAACTTCTATATTCCCCTCTGTATCACACAAGCAACACAAAAAACAACACAGAAAGAACAATAATTCTTGATGCAGAGGCTTGTGTAATATTCTTTGGGATTAGCAAGAAATTGTGCAAATAAACAAGCGTATTAGTGGAAACTACTCAAATATTTAGAAATTTACTTCATTTTAAATTCGTGTTCCCTAGATAATAGTTATTTAAAATATGACAGATAAACAATTCATTTTATTTTGTGAGTAGAAAAGTTTGGGACACAGCCCCAACAGGCTGAATGACACAATTCAATGAGTAAAACACAACCACTTTAAAATATGGTATACATGTGATAAGACAGCCTTACTGACTTTCATTCTGTTTTAATTCAGGAATACAAATCATTTAATTGTGTTCTATGTTAAGGTCAGTAGTAGCTGATGTGATCAGAAGCAAGCATTTCGTTTTCATTGATGCAGTCACACACTTTTATTTAAACATTTGGGTATCATCTCACTTTTAGCGCTAGAGCTAAAAATTGAACTTTTAGTATGTACCATTATGGCCTAAAAGTAACTGCTTTTACTGTGTTTCTTAAAGAAAATACACAAAATTCTTAAAGAACATTTAATAAAAATTGTTTTTCATTAATTTTTTAAAATTTCATTTAATAAAAAAAACAATATTTAATAAAAAAAGGTTTTTGTTAAAATGTTACCATTTATATTGAAGAAAATTACATTTTCTGGAAACTTTACAACAGATTCCTTCGATTGAACAGCAGAATGAGAGTTTGTGAGAAATTCAAGTGCACATTACAGGTGCGCTATAGTGGGGAGAAGAGAAGAGGGAGTATACAAAATACTTCAAAAATGTGTTATGTAATTAATGGACAGCCCCCTTGCTGAGAAAATAAGATTTTCTACATGTTCTTAAAATAGCATCATTATCACAATAGGGCATTTGAGTATCTGTTTTAACCTCTCATCAGCTGATACTTCCTGCTCTCAGTTATGTCATTCCACTACCTTGATTAATCCAATGGAACCTTCAACCTAGCCATCCCTTAACTCCGCAGTAGCTAGTAACCACACTGCAGTTGAGAACTGTCTCCATCTCCTGCCACTGATGGCTTGGAAGGGCTCTTGAAGTAGCAGTAGTATTATAAATCTGTGCTTCAATATCTTGAAGTATATGATAACATTATCATTTCTACAATAATTTTTAACTTTTTTTTTAAAGAAATAATATTCTCTCAACTAATTAATATTTTGTACACATTTTTTAAAAGGTTTGGGAAATTCAAAATTATGAGCTACAAATAATATTTTCAGGGAAAATAAGATTACATTTTGTATTTTATGTTTGCTAAAATTAAAGCATCAAGCAGATGTCTGTTGGTCAGGTGAGCAAGCCTATGCAGTACAATGTTATATGGATACAAAGTAAGGAATTTTTAAGCAGAAAACACCTCATCAAATTTTGCTTAGCGACATCTATTATGTTTGATAATCTTTTGTAAGATGTAAAAGTCAAATATAGGATGATCATGTAATGAACTACTCCTATTTCCCACTGTTCTGCTCTCAAAATTTCTAGGACCTGAATCAAGTTTGAAGCCATGGAAATTGAAATTGAATCTCAAGATAAAAAATGATTAAACTGTTGCATTTGAAATGTAGTTAACAAATTCTATTAGAAAATTTCTAGATTCAGAACAGATACTACACAAATCTCTTTATTTCAAACTTATGATCAATGCCCCATTCAAGGCCAGTAACAAGAAAGGGAGAAGATTTAATACTTTAGAAGATTCCATAAAAAGAAAAAAAGAAAAATGGGAAAAAAAACTTCATGCTACAAATCTTACCATTTATATTATCATATTGTGATGCCTTGTCTCCCTTTTATTTTAAAAGCAAAAATAAAAAGTGCCCCAACCTTCATCACAAAATAACCAAGGAAAATTTTCCATTCATTACAGATCTAAAAACCAAATTCACTTCCCTTCAAATTTTAACTTTTAGTCTGTCTGAATGTCAATTAATTTTGGGATATTTTTATTCTAATAAATACAACTAAATAAATTATACTGAAATAAGCTAATGCAAACTGAAGTTCTTTCCATATGAGTAATATCTTATGGTACTGCAAGATAATTGAAAGTATTTCATGAATTATATTTTGCAATAGAAATTTTTGTTTCAATTCTAAGAACTTTCTTCACATTGAATAAAATAATTAAAAGTTATTACACTTTCAGGTTCGGAGAGAAAAAATTAATTCTCAAAGGTGACCAAATATATCATTTACACTCTGACAATCTTGCTTTTCAAGAATGACTTTATTGTCCTGACAATATGATTAGTGACAGTAGAATTAAGCACTTTTAAATTTTAAAAAATTACATTTTCAAAAAATGCTATAGCATTTTATAGCATTACAACGATTAAGATTTAGTATTTTATGGCATTTGTTGAGAACATTATTAAAGAGGAACGTTGAGGTAAACAAATGTTGATGCTTTATAGATTTTCCCATTAAAATCGAAAAATAAGGGAAACTAATTGAATATTTCACCATTTATTAATTTCAAGAAATATATAAGCATAAGTAGTAACATGTATGCCACAGGGCTAAGGGCCTTCCTTTTCTTTCCCTTATCTCTGTACAATGAACTGAGAAAGTCAAGACCCCTTGAAAGGACCTGAGCTCAGGTTTTCAGGAACAGTTTTTATTAATTGTTTTGTCAATTAAATTTTAATTATAAATAAATGAATAATCATGGTCACACTCAAATTTAATCTTTTCAAAAATGTGTGTGTTGTCAAAGTCGCATCCCAAGAGCAAACACAAAGGAAACCATAAATGCAAGTTAGCAATTATATCACAGATTCACAACCATTTTTGCACATTGTGTGCGATTTTATATTTTCAATCAATTTTGCATTTTATCTCAGATTGCACACCTTTAGAAATATACTGCACTGACAGTCAAACATACAATTACTAATTTTTTCAACATTTGGTAACATTTTGCATATTTAGCAATTGCTAAAATCTACCTTATCTAAATATAACAAAAATTTGTGCAGCAGTTGTATTTCTTCACTTTAATTAAATAGATTTTAAACTATATTTTAATATTCTATTTCCTAGTGGAAGTTATAATCATCAAATACCCTAATCAGACAGATTACTGTAAAGAAAATTTGAACAACAAATATTTTGTAACTGCGTATTGTGACAGTTACAAATACACAAACTTCTCTGAAATACCACCCTCTGCTATTAAATGGCCATCACTCCCAATGACTGATTTTTCTTGCAATAGACAATGAATTCTAGATATTATATGTGAATTTTAACATTTAACAAACCAAACCTCTCCCTGATCACTGACCAGCCCTTTAATAGCAATTATCCTAATTTACCCACTGTAAGACACCAATTTCAGGAAAATTGTAAGAATATACTGAGCTGAATTTTCAGTAGTTAAAATTAAATTGACCACACTGTAAATGGCTTTGATGTGTGTCATGCACTGTACCTGAGCTTCATGTAACAAAAATCTGTCACTGATATGGTACCACACCAGTTTGCCATCTTTCCATTTCATTTTCTCTAATACCACAGCAAATATAAAAGGAACCTTATATTTAATTTTTTGAATTAACAGAGCCTTCCTTACTTTCTCTTCCTTGCAAAACATCTGGTACAGTGGGGTACAGAGTCGAAAGACTGTATTTAGTGGACAAATGAATAACACTAACTTGGGAATATCAAAACCGAAAAGGATTTCAATGTTTATTTCTAACCAAGAGAAAGATATATGAATAGTTTTTTAAATGGAAAAAAGAAAAAAATTAATATGACTGCAAAGACCTTAACATCAAAAAAGACAAATTAAACATTTGTTAAAGTGTTTAATTATTCTTAATTTGTGCACATATCCTAAAAGCCTTTAAAAATGTTCATTATAATAAAATACTAGGCAATTTCCTAAACCTCCAATGTCTAGTAATGGGCTTTTTGGGCAGGGAGATGAGAAGGGAGGGAGAGGGAGAAATATTTCCTTATGATGCAGTCACCCCTTAAAGAACACTTAGAATTAGAGTAAGAATATCATTAAAAAAAAAAGATGCTGGTTAAAGTGAAGAGCTCACCTGTTGTGCGGCGGAAAGTGTGAAAGTCAACCATAAACTTGGAAGAAGTGAAGAGAAGTGTGAAAAGTTGGTCAATATGCAGAGGCAATGTGATATTCAACAAATGCGCCCTCATGTGTAGACGTGCATCTGCGGCATCTCACTTTTCCCTGCACAAAAATAAATTCATAAATCAGATTATTCTAAACCAGGTAATTTTCTTGTTGTTGAATATTTTACAACATATCAGTATATTAATATTATCTTTATTCCTTGGAATAAAGATTGTACATTCTGAATAAATTAAAAAAATTCACATTGAAGCAAGGCTCCATGAAGCATTCTCTTCATGACAAACAATTACATCCTCTGGAGACACAAACATTTTTTAAATTAATTTTGCTTTACAGTACTTGGATGTCACCAAAGTTATTTTCTCTCAAAAAGTTGGTTGCGGCACAGCAGTATGCAGCAAAACACTCAATAAGTAAAATATGAACACATAAATAGGTGAAGAATATTATTATTCCCTTTAGTAATGTTTTATATTAACTTTGATAGCGACCACTTGCTAGTACAAAATCAAATAGTGATCCAGAAAATTAATAATAAAAAGAAAAACCAAGCATAATACAAGAATCCTCACAGAACATTTCAAAATGCATCTCCTAGAAGAAGAAATGAGATGTTTCAGAGAAGATTACAACAGAAATTACTGGAGGACGAACACAATAATGCAAAAGAAAAGAAAAGAAAAGAAGAAAAATGGGAAAGATTAAAACAAAAAATATAAGCTTCTGCGGGAAAAGCTATAGATTACAAACCACAAAAAAACAAAAAGTGGCTCCAATCCTGGAACAATCAATAGCAGAACTCATATGAAAGACAAAAAGAAAGGGGAACAAAAAAAGAAAACCGACAAATGCCTACAACTGCAACAAATGCCTAGAAATGCCTACAAATTATATCTAAATAATAAGAAATACAGATTACATACAATATGAACAACTGCATGGAAAATGAGAAGAGAAGACTGGAACAAATTTGTCAAAACAATAGAAAAAGATAACTGGACCACAAAAATTTAATTTCAAATTACTAAAGAAACCAAAAATGGAAAAATGAGACACCATTCATCATTCCAGAAGAAACATGGATAAGACACTATGAACACTTATGGCAGAATGAAGGAGGAGGACCTACGAAGTGATATGGAAACAAGAAACAGGAAATAATACATCAAACATTGAAATGAAAGAACGAGAGAAGGTGATGAACGCACAGAATTGGAAAAGCTAGGAACCAGACAATGTAAACATAGAAAAAGTAAAATATGCAGGGAAAGAAACCCAAAAGAAATTATTAGAAGCCAAAAACAAAATAATGACAGAACTAAATATTCTAAGAGAATGGCAAATCAGATTGGTGATGAACAAATATAAGACGGGATCAAAAAACAAATGCAAAAACAACACAGGAATTACCATGTAAACCTCATACTACAAAATCTATGCAAGTAAACTGAAACACAAACTATATGAGAACAATGTGGTTTCAGGAGAGGAAGTTCAATTTATGCAATTTTCATGGCTGAACAAATAATTAAGAGAAGAAGTCAAAAAATATCTACCAACATTCTCATTATTTGTTGATTATGAAACAGCATATTACAAGGTGGTCAGGAAGAAACTATGGAATGTACTAAATGATTGAGTGAACAATCATCTCATGTAAGCAATAGAAAGCCTATACCTTTAAAGCTAAGCTAGGTATATGGGTATACCTAGAACCATGGGTAGAAGCACCTCCAAAGCAATATCCACAACCATAGGACTATGACAAGGATGCACACTCTCCCCCGTTATGCCATATATGAACCATATGATGAAAGAATGGAAGAATGAAACAGAAGAAGGAATAATGATGAGACACAACAAACAAATAGCAACACTATTGTATGCCAATGGAACTAGTTACAACTACAGATGAACTCCAAAAAGCAACATGCAGATTAAACAGAATAGCATAAGAATACAAAATGAAAATATCAATGAGAAAAGCCAAGGCAACAGGAATAGCAGAAAAGATTACTGCAGAGTAAAAATTGTAATAGATAATCAGGTAATTTAACAAGTAGAAACTTTTACATATCTAGGCAACAAGATTACTACGAGAGGAAGATATTGAAACAAAACTGGCAAAATTTTACAAGATCAATGGCTACAGAAACAAACACTTCAGAAACGTAAAGAAAGAAACAAAAAGAAGAATCCACAAAATAGTGGCAAAAACCAATCCTACAAGATGGCAGTGAAATATTGATACTCAAACAGAGAGACAAACAATAGAGGCAGCCCAAATGAGCTATCTGAAAGTAATACTTTAAGTAACACAAAAAGACAAAATAAGGAACAATCAAAAATGGAAAACACTGAAAACTAAGAATATGGCTACTGAAATTGAGAAGCATCATACAAAATGGCTAGAACATGTTAAAAGAGTGTGACCAAGTAGACTTCCCAAAGATGGTTATGAACTATAGACCAAGAAGAAATAGAGAACATGGCAGGCCAAGATAACCGTGAATGGACCATGAACACCTTAACTCGCGCAGGGGAATACAAGGAACAGGCCAAGGAACCTAAATCTTAATAAGATGTCTATGATTATTATTAACTTAGAAATTTTTAAGGCTACTCAATTATATTACAAATTGCTCAATTAAAAAAGTTAGGTAAATAACAAATGCACACAGATTTTTACTTCTACTATAAGAGTGGGGCCCAGAGTTGACAACTTTAAGAAAATATTGGTACCTCTGGTTGGAACCCCTGAAGTATGTTCCTAATTCTATCTTGTTTTTGAGGGTTTGGTTTTCAATTTCAAAAGCAGAGCCCCTTCTCATATCTTTACAATCTTGTTGTGATTGATTGATTAGTGACTTCTGGCATGCCAACTGCTACGGTCATTACTCCCATACGAGTAGTGCATGTTTTTATCGTGAAAGGTGGCGGTGACCTTCCCTCGCTGGATGGAGAGATCTCGCACCAACCTACATTTGCTTGTGGGGATTTTCCCAACCATGTGGGGCATCGACTCAGCTGGGATAAGCACAAAGCCCCCGTCTGATTTCCCAATACATGTGGCAATGCATTGTAGTGAGTAAGTAAAGGGTGAGGAGAGAACAAGGAAGAGGAAGGAAAGATCATATATGGTCCATGGCCTGGTTGTTAGGGTTCTGCCCTGACATTCGCCTGGGATTGATCGGAGATACTACGGAAAACTACTGATCAAAGTACCCAACTGCTAGAATTTTCCTCGAAACAGTGGGTGAATTCAACCTAGCTACGTAGTTAGAGTAGATAATCTAGCCACTGTTGGGATTCAAACCATGGGACCTCCTGCTCAGAGGCACTGCAGAATCTTATTGCCTTAGCCACTTTCCATTGACTTTTTTAAACTTTTAAATAAAAAATTTATCCATTTTAAAACTTACACCATTCTGCTCTTGAAATTGATAACCATTGCACTTGTGACCTTGCATACTTTCATTTTTTTGTTGAGACCATGATTTTCTGTATCAGAAATTAAACAATGGCCTTTGGCAGACTGTGTGCATACTCAACAAGAAAATGTTTTTAAGAATGAAATGTAGGAAGCAAATCAATTTGTGATGAGGCCTGTTATATGGACAGGTACAGACATCCAGGTTATCTTTTTGCATGAAACTACTTCGTCAGAATATTTAATAGATTGAATGAATGGTACTGAAAATGCTATGGTACTGAAAATCACTTGACACTATTAAAGTTTTCTATTGTGTGGCATTCTTTGTGGCAATAATTGCCCGATTAATTTATTAATACACAATTTCACCAATGATAACAAAGAAACAAGGCACTGCCCAGCTCTGTTTGCAGACACCACAGTGTCTGCATGGTACGTTTGACTTTTGTGTGACTAGTGCAGTGTGTCTGACTTGCATACCAGGAGAAGACATTTAAATTCAATTTCCACGAAGAATTTTTCCTTTTCTTTCTTATGAATCTATTTTATGAAAGTACTTCTATTTTGCAACATATATTTTATACCTCCAAAATCTCAATTGTAACTCCAAAACAGCATGTTAAAAAATACCACAGGCAAAGATCCTACACTCACCTCCTCCTTTCTCTGCATCTGACTCTGTGGTGTCGCTCATATCTGTCGGCAACATTTCAGTCGAGGGAGCGCGCACAGCAGGCGGTGGATGGTGGTTGTCCACATGCTCTCCATTCGCCAACGAAGGGGCAGGTGTGCCAGGAACACTGCTATCTCCATGTCCTGAAGGGCTCTCTGGCCCCCCATCCTCTGGCTCAAGAGCCTCCATAGGGGGCTCTGCCATAGTGAAGCACTCCTGTTAACAAATTATTTTCAGATTTAACTGTTAAAAAGACTGGTAAGACAGTAATTGCACTGTGTATTAGAATGAAATGCAATAAAGATCCAGGAGAAAAGACATCAATCCTCCTTATTTTTATGAGGAGAGAAAAGAAGAAGGTCAAATCTTCTAGAGATTTGGATCAATTTATAAACCTTAATATTAAAAATTCCCTTTTCCACTAGGTAAAAAAATTATATCCTTCGAAACGTTTGCAAGACTTGACTTAAGAGTATTAAAGTTTTCTTCAACTACAGTTCACTGATAGAGATTTTTAACTTTTCATTTCAAAATAGCTTTAAATTTTGAACACAGGAGGTACTGGAGATATGATACAGCTGCAAAATGATATCCCACAGAGGAATTCTGATATATGAATATGTCATAGGTTGAATGTTTTTTTTTTCAGGGATAGATACTTCGAGAGAAAAGATAAATCATACAAATTAACTGGAAAAAAAACAACACACAATGCGAGTCATATCATTCCCTAGAAATCCTTTGTATTCCTATGAAAATAAATGCAATGTAATAATTGAAGGAAACTATTCTCCGATTAGATAAAAACTTGAATTTCACATTTCTTTGAGCATGTATTTCCCTACTGTATATAATCATAAGATTTTTGAAATATTTGAATAACTACCTATCTATAAACAATCTTCTCTAAACTCTTAGGTTTTGCCTTTTTTCCCCCTCAACATTACTTTGCCTTTTTGGGCATTGACCATACAAATCTCAGGAGTAATGTTCCATTCCCCTGGAAGTTTTTGCATTTGTCTCATCACATTAGAGTCACTCAATGCCTTTCATCCTTTCGGCCAAGGGCTTGGCACCATTAATAACAGATTCTCACACAGTCAACCATCCAGGCCTGGTGAATAATGTGGGTATGGTGAGTAGCTATGCCTACACAAAAAATTCTAAGTGGGTGAAATACCCACTCTTAATTTGGGGTGAGAAAAATATTCCACAAATGTCAAATTCTATAAATGAACGAAGTTTCTCAGTATTGCATCTACTCAAAACATTGATGCAATGGACTATATAGCAAGATCTGCTCAACAGTACTGCAATTTTACATCTTTATAGCTACACGACCAACAAAATCGATTTTCAAAAATTGTTAAATGAATTTATGAAAAGAAAGCAAAGCGCTGTTTTTGCTTTGCAAAAATGAACTGATGAAGTTACTTAAAATAAATAAGATAACAATTAATGATAAACGTGACAAATTTGAAAAAAAATCTTTTTGTATGTTTCCCTTCATATATATTTTCGGGGCTGAAGGGGGGAGGAGGGGGGTCCACCCGGGACAATTACCCACTCAGACTTATCACCAATTGCCAGCCCTGCAACCATCCAGGAATTCATTGTGTCTCGAGTTGCTTAACAAACTTAATCAATTATGGAATTAAATGTGTAATAATTGTTTCTGCTATAGTGTTGCGTCAACCATAAGAAGAATGCACGTTTTAATAAATATTCAACTTAATATTTTCAATGAAACCAATGTAAAAATTCCTCAATCTTCTCTACCTTATCACTCTCTATTCACAATTTATATTACTTATCTAATATGGATTTTATTTTTTAATAGTTCAATATCCTCTGATATTTAAAGTATTTATACCAATTTACTAAATTTTGAAGTACGTTACGTTTTTTTTAGGTCACCAATAATAATACAATTTAAAAGTGAATGAATGAATGAATTACTATGACTTTCTTGATTAACTTGTAGAATCATATCAACAATTTCTGAAGTAATCAAGTCTTCTACAAAGAGAATACAAAATATATGCTTAGCACTATTTATGTATGCGTTTTTCCCATTAATTATAGCCCCCATAAGAAATATTAAATGTGATAAGCGTTTAATAGAATATTGTGATAAAGCCTAACCCTAAATACCAAACAGTTTTCATTGAGATATGGCTAAAAAGAAAATGATGAAAATTTTGCCAGTGAGGAGAATTTTCACAGATATGATTGGATTTTAACTTATTAATGGTCAGAATTCTGGTAATGTCACAGTGAAACATTCTTGCTATTACAAATAGTACACTGCAGATCTTTTTTTCTACTGTGTACTCACTGTTTCAATGCTGTCAACATTTTCCTGCTCCATTTGGCATCAATAATTTTTAAGTCAACACAGATGTTTTGTGGTTTACCAATTTTGATATTTGGGTTTACATTCATGATCTGATATATCTTTGAGGTAAAGATGTTCAGAACCAGAACACCTGGAGGATGATGTCTCTCAAGGATTTTTTTATTTAAGTTGTCTGCCTGGTATTCAGTGTCACCAACTTCTGCTAAATGTCAAATGATTATACCAAGAAAATTATTGTGACCCAGTTCTTACATGGCAAGGTAGGTTGATTAAGTGTTTAATTGAAAATAAGAATTTAAAATTAAAACCCTTTTCTTCTAAGAAATATTTGCTCTATTTGTTTTTTCTTATTAATATTGACTTTGTGATTCCAAACTTGGTTTGACTGTATTCAGACAGCAGAAAGCACAATATACATCAAACATTTTCTGGAATATTGAACACCTAACCTCAAAATAGTAGTCTCAAACTTAAGCAAGCAAATATTAACAAATAGAAACAATATTTAAAAACGAATGAAAAATGCTGATTCAAATAACCAGAAACAAGTTTTAAATAAAGAATTGTGTAGTCTACTAGCAAGTCATTAAACACTAAACAATATAACTTCTGAATTTGTATGCTAATGATTGAAACAAACAATATGAAGAGTTAACTGACAATAGTAATTCCCAACCTTCCAAACTTGAGTTTTTTCTTCTTCAATGCTCACCTTTACAGGATCTGGAGAATTCTCCAATACCAGATTCATAGTAATGACAGCAGACCTATACTGGTCTGGTCTGCACACTTGTTCTTATCTCTTATCTCTTACTGCCAGCCGCAGATAATAGATAAGGCGAAATGGTCAGAGCAGAGACAATTTTGTCTGAGAAAATGTGTAAATATCAGTGTCTAAGGGCAGTTGCTCAAAAGGCAAAGTTCATGTTAACACAGGTATTTAATGGCAAAATGTTGAAATGATTTCCACAAGTAGGCCTATGTTCAGTTGTTTCTTCCAGTATGAAGAAGTCCAGAAAAAAATAACAGACAATATGCAAGGAAAATTCACTCTGAACAATATATGATAATAAACGATTTTTTAATGATAGTTGTGATGCTACATTGTCTGATAATTGCCTGATCAAACATCATTGATCATCACACAAAATTATTGTCTCAGAAAATTTCCAGTCCTTTGCCCACATTTGAAATACTGTTTTACAAGAGAGCATTCAATAAGAGATATGTTAGAAGTCAATCTACATTAAACAATAATTTACCATAATTCCTAATATCTAAATATGAACGGAAAGGACATTTTTTAAAATGACATTCTTGTTAGTTATGAAAGTCATACCTCTGAGAAAGAATCAACAGAGAAACGGCCACTTAAGAGACTAGGTTTGTCGTCGTCTGCTGTAGGGGGAATGTAATCCTCGTCGTCACTAGTGAGTCCCAGCTCGTCTCCATAACATGTGTGAACCCATTGCCACATTTCCTGCATGGACATTTGCTGTAACAAAAGAATAAACCAAGGAATATTTAGGCCAGCCTGAAAAGTTGAGGTGACTAAGGTAGGATTGCTGGTTAAAAGGATTTTGTGTTCCTGGTTTTCACCTATCACATTGGTTAGTATCTGTAGGTTATGAACACAAACTTCAAGTTCCAGTTTAAATTATTAGAAATTTAAAATCCATTTCCTTTTTGAGGTGTTTTAGCTAAAGCATGAAAAATGATGCAGGTATGCATTTGCAGTAATACATTCATAACAACATCCAAATCATGGTAGTAAAAGGGCACACCTGAATTTGCATACTATTTCTAATGAAGATATTCAGTCTTTTTTTTCCTCTCAAAATTTCATTATTTAACTGTAATATGATTACAATAACTTTAATTCTTTCATAGAAATTTACCCTTAACTGAGAAAGAAAATACAAGAGGTTTTACAGAAGGATGATAATTAGGACCAGTAATTTTCATTATGCAGGTCTCAATTACTACATATCAACCCTTATTTTAATTTGATTATCATTTTCCATATATGTAGTATGTTCTCATTTAACTTACCCGATCGAGGAGCGCATTTTGCCAGACTCGAAACAACATCAGGTAGGTTTTGTCCCTTGCAGTGAAGGAGGTGAGGAAATGTTTTTCCGATTCTGTACATATTAGCACAGCGTTGGGAATAACAAGAGCAGTCTTTTCTTTGGTTATGGCTGTAACGTCTTTCCACTGAATTGTGACCTACCAAATGTAAAACAAACATTAGGGACCTTCACACTAAGAATACCACCATTCAGAATAGTTTGACCATTAATTATTTGGCTTCAGGCACTACACATCATCATTATTTGAAATGTACACTACTAAGCTGATTACATTTAATTATGAAATAAAACAAATTTGAATGTAGATTTTTTTAACCCTTACAGCTCACAATTGTGTCACTTAAAAATTATTTATTTTAAAGCTCATTATCTTGTATGGTCAAAATAAACAACACCTTCCTATCTACAATTTACAAAAAAGGAAAATCAATGATTGTTCTAAAGATTAAAAAGTAGAGGTAAACACACACTTCTGATGTAGAGTTTATTGGTAAAATTTAACATTTGCATTTGGGGTGTTTGTTTCTAAAGAACATTGGAAGTTTTAATGGTGCTGGATTATGGGTCAAGTTAACTTTAAGGAATGTCAATATTTTGGATTAATTTATTTATTTACCTGAACCCTGGGTCCATTTTCAGATCATAACAGGGGATTTAAAGAAAATACTTCAACACAATTCTCAGTGAAACATTGTTCTTCAAAACACAAGAATTGGAAAATCATTTAATAGAACAATAAGAGAGAACAGAACTCTTAATATCGTAAACAAATGAAACAAATATGTTTAATACATGTATAAAAAATATATAATTTCAATTATAGCAGCTTGTAGGTAAATAGGCAATTGTATCAATTTAGCAGAATTATACATGTAAAAAACAGGATTACAGAATATAATAAATAATGTATTTACAAATAATTTAGTAAAACTAGTTTGCAAGATTGCACGAAATGAGGCTAATTCTATGAGCATGTACATTTTACTATGACATTCCACTGCTTGTGAACTTCCCAGGCCAAAGCACACTTAATGCTGAAAATGGGAAAAGTTATTTAAATGAATGATGATTTACTTTAACACAATGTTAAATTATAGCTAACTACTAAAAGTGAAAACTATTGACATTCGCTCCCCTAATTCATTCAAAACAGATGAGAAACATGGTTGATGTTTCAATTTTAGAACAACAAATAGCACTCCAGGATAAAAAGTTATATTACCCTTTTTAAGGTGGAATGTGCACTGAAGTATCTTTACATTAAAATTTTTAATTGATAAAGTACAGAACAATCTCAAAACATGATTAAATTTGTAGACCAAGCCTAGGTTTTTGAAAATACTTTGAGGGGAGGGAAAAAAACAACAACTATGAAGATATTAGATGAGATTTTGTCATAAAAGAAATAGTACATCAAGATATCTAGATTAATGGAAAAAAAAAAAGAAAGAATGAGGCGAGACCATATACAAAACAATTGAGAAGAAGCAAGGTCCTTCATGTAATTCACACTATTTGAGACAGCACAAGCAGAATACTATAACAACATTCCACATTTCTGAAAATAACAAGGTTATTTCTGCCAATGAATTACAATGATCTCTTCATAAGACACAACAAATTACTAAGGGTTGTAACTTTATAACTTCTACCTAGAAAAGTATTACCATGACATTTTAAGGAAGTTTTCCAATCTAACGTGAAAATGGTTGGCAGTAGGAAATTCAAACACTGAGCAAACATATGTTTTTGTATTCTAAAACTGCTATTTATCATAGAAATGAGATTAATACCAGAAATACATAAAAAGATTTGAACAAATACATACAATTATTTAAAGCATTCCTAGATAAAAAGTTAAGAGAAAGACAAAACAAAGACAGTTCTTGTGGCTTAGAAGATGTTATAATGTGTACATGAACTAATGAATATGAAGGAGATTCCAAACCATTAAAAATGTAATACTTAAAGAATATCAATGATAAAGATAAAATTAATACTAGTCACCCTTCATAGAGTAATTGATTAAGACAATCTTCAATATGGGGAGGGTATATTTATTTTCATCTTTTTTGAGGCTTGGTAGCTCATTCTTACTTATCTGCAATTCCATTTATCCATATAATCAACACCCCTTCTCGGGTAAGGTAAATACTGTTGTAAAAAGATCTGATAAAAGAGCTTTTAAGCTACCTCATAATTACAAGCAGTGGTGCTAAATCAGCACCTACCTTCTCGGGAATTTAAAATGAAAATGAAACCTACACCCTTTTTTAAAGGTCCTTTGTTTATCTGAAAAAATTAAAATAAAGAAAAATTTTGGTGATGTTTTTTAAGAAAATATTGTTTCTAACATTGCCTATTATTTGATGAAACATTAGGCAAGAACGACTCATTTTCAAAGAATTGTACATGACCTCATTAACGATCTAATTTTGAAAAACAGATTTCATTTAAAAAAAGAGATCTATCTTCAAGAGAGATAAAGGACAAAATCAAAATATTTTGGAAGTTTTGCAATTTTCGAAAATTTAGAGAATTGAAGGAAAATTCGACCTGCTCTGTTTTTATAAGCGTACTTTACTCTCTGATAAATAAATTATCCAAAATATTAGAGCCATTTAAAAAAAACAAATTGAAAATGTCCATGAGGCATCATGTAAAGTAATTCTCCGAATGAAATTAACAGTTTCAAATCCAAGGGCCTGCATGTCAACCAGATAAATTGGGGATTATCACTTTTGATGAAAATCCTGCCAAGATTTAGCTATCAGCATTGTTGACGGCTGGGCACACAGATGGGCGTTTTGCCGATATTGCCATATCATAGACCTAACGTACTACATTTTAACTACTATATGTTAAAAGTTATTTGCTAAATATAGTAGCGAAAATTAACCACTTTTTTGCCATCAGGGCCCCACGTTTTCTGAGCAATTAAGCAATGGATTGAGAAGGACGGCAGAGCGTTACTTGAAAAACTGAAGAGGAGAAGAAACTTTCAATAAAAATTGAAAAATAAGTAAATAAATAAAATAAAATATCAATGAGAATTACGGGATAAGAACAAAAAGGGATAGATTTTACCTTGAAATTAAAAATCTGTCTAGGAATTTACAATAGACATTCAAAAAATTGAAAGATGTGGAAACTTATTTTAGAGTGGATTGGGATGCCACCTTCAGTTCGCCCCCATAAAAAATTTTGTAATAAAAAATGTAAAACGGTGAAGTTTGAAACTTTAAAGAAATATAATTATAAATGAATCCTTGCAAACAATATATGGAACTGGTTTGAATAGAATTGCAGATATACAAGAAAAGTTTCTTTTGGGGCTCGCCTCCTACTAACACATTTGGTGACAGCTAAAGTAATTGCTTTGAGAAGCGTTTTACATTAGGTTGGGGGAGTTATAAATTAAATTTTTACATTTTTCTCTATTTTCAACAATATTTCCCGAAGATAGTCCAGAAAATGTTCTGATAATTTTCGAACTTCATAAAGTCGACTCTGAATATATTGAACTTAAGCCACTGGTCCCGATCCACCTACATAAGCAACAGAAGATTCGATTATAATGAACTCTCAAGATCGGTTATCGCGAACTTTCAGCCCTCAAGTTGAAAACTAGCGAAAACCGAAGCTAGGACATTGTAAATACAGTTAAATTTTTTTCAGCACAGAAAAAAAAATCATGTGATGATTCAAAAATGAAGAAAGGTCTAACAGTGCTAGAAGCATTGAAAGATGTTAAGACTACAGTGAGATGTTTAGAATGTGGGACATTGTGGAATAAAGCGTGTTTGGTATGTAACTGGTTATTTTACTGTGCCACTGACTTCATAAAAATAAATTTATCGGATGTAATGAATTTCTGATCTAAAGAACCAAATTAAGTAATACGTTTGTGATGTTTCTATACAATTTTCGGACGTCATCACAGTTTTTCAAAACAACTATTTTTTCCCTGAGAACTATTCAGTGCCATACGAAACTCCCTCTTACCGACTTCAAGGGCTACGAAATCAGTTTCACGAAGGCGAAGCAGACACTAAAGGATGGGCATGTAATCGACATTTTTATGCGCCTTATCTGCACGCTACCCAATATAAACATACGTTTCCACGGACGACTTACTAAAAATATACTTTTAAATAGGCAAGTCGTTCGCGATGGCAGCGATGCCTGCGGATGACGTCGAAGACGGCGCTCCTGCGCGGAGCACGCGCCGGTCCGGGCCAAGGGCGCTCACGAGGACAGAACGGCAAAGAGCGAACGAATACGAGGGGGCAAATCCAGGGATGGATTTACCTACAAGCAAAACCAGCAGTTGCTTGGGGCCCCCATTCACCAGGGATCCCGTGTTTCAGAAAAATACGCATACCATATTTTTTTTGTCTGTGAATAATTGTTATCAGGCAGTCTAACTGGTGTACAAAACGTACATTTCAAGGCATATTAAAAATATTTATTACAATGTTAATTAGTCTAATATTAACTATACTTAATTTTCTTTATTATATGGAATATTTGTCATTTTTTTCGTAATTATGTTTTAATGCTAAAGAATGTAACAAAGACAAGGTAAAAATTTCTATAAAAATTATCAGTGGTTCTTTTGTGATCTGTAAATAGTACTTTTTAAAACTTATATAACATTTTTTTATTTAATAAAGATGGTGCTATTTTTTCGGGGGGGGGGGGGGGGCAACAATTTTGTGCTTGGGGCCCCGCACTACTTAAATCCGGCCCTGGGCAGATCGCTCAACCAGGCGGATGAGATGTGGCTTTAGTAAACCAAAAGAGGTTCTCTTACCCGAAGTTGGAAGATTTTCAGGTAAATGAAGTTGAGGCAATTTCAATACATTCAATTCAATACATTACGACACGTGATTGAAAAGGTACGTGAACGATTGGAATCCGCGTAACGCGAAAGGACCTAACCAAAGACATTATCAAATAGGTTCGAATATCCAGAGTCGTTCAAATTCATTCAAATAATAATATATCCAGAGCCGACATTACGAAGTTCGAAAATTAACAGAACATTTTCTGGATTATCTTCGGGAAATATTGTTGAAAATAGAGAAAAAATTAAAATTAAATTTGTAACTACCCCAACCTAATGTAAAACACTTCTCAAAGCAATTACTTGAGCTGTCACCAAATGTGTTAGTAGGAGGTGTGTGTGTGTGTGTGTGTGTGTTCGTAATACCCGGCCACGAGGTCTCCGGCAGGCGGAAGGAGCGTCAACACCTCTTCGGCTCAATCGCTCACCTGCGTCTCCCAGCGGAAGATGTTGGCGTAGAAACACAAGTAGTTCTGCGACACGTACAGGCGGCCATGCACCAGGATGTCCTTCTGCAGCGCGCACGAATAGTCTGCGAAGCAAACCACCAAAACAAGAGTTCAGTTCCTCATACGTAAGCGCATCTCCTCATACGTAAGCGCGCTCGGCGAAGGCAGGTCGCTCGAGGCTCTCGCTCGTTCACGGCGAAGGGGGTGGGGGCTGCTCCTCCGCCTCGGAGATGAGCAGCCCGAGATATGCCTTGAGGCAACGAGCGTTGACAGATACTCCGGACGAGTGATTTCTTTCGGAAGTCGTCACGATCGACTGTGTCGAGAGAACCTCCTCGTCCCCACGGCGGCCGGCGAGCACGCGCGCCAGGCACTGAGGCGATGACGGCGCCGGCGTCGGCGTCGACGGCTGCTGCGGGCGGAAAGCCACCTGGCCGCCGGCCAGCGTTCCCGCTCCGCTCCGCCCCGCTCCGTCCCGCCCATTCCCATCTCGCGCCCGCCCCACCCTGCCCCGCCGATCGAGGAACCCTCGGGAGTCACTCCGGGGCCCTTCGTCCCACCACCGCAGCCATCCTCGCTTGCTCTCGCTCCCGTTCCCGCGCTCTCGCTCTCGTGATCAATGGGGAGGCCGTTTGCGCGGAAGGGCCGCCAACATACGCACTGCGACGCACCCTTCCAGCCGTCACGCATGCCTGGCCGCCCACGCCAGCGCACCCGTTCGAGCCTTCGCGCGCGATCGCAAAGAGTGGGTCAAGGACGGAGTCAGAGTCTACGAGACGACGGTACAGACAGTGATAAATGTCATGTAACTTGTGTACTGTCATGGGTGAATTTGAAAAATAAGTGTATTCAAGGCATATTCAATGACCCGGGCAAACATTCCCCGGTTTGTAAATCGTTTTTAGAAGTAAAACTTCATTCTGGAAACGAACTTAGAACATGCAAGCTCGGAACAGCTTATGGGCTCAGTACAGAGTCAAACGTAACATTTTAAGATTTTATTAGCAAACAATTTGATTCCATGCGAAGCACGGAAGTGCGTATTGCATTACGCGCGCCTGCCGAATTCTTCACAGTACAGCCTATAAAATTCTTCACTTTTCATCTTAAATCTGATTTTTCATGCATCCGTGGGCGTAATTTCCCAAGGAGCAGTTGCACATGTTGGCGTTTCGAATGGATAGTGCCTTATAAATCTTACCAATTCGTCAACTTTTCATAATATATCTTATGTTAAGGAAAGATAATCGAATTTAAAGTGAATACCATGACGTTATTAATTCTGTTAAATTCGAAGTTATTCTTTGAGTTCAATTTTTGCACGCGTACCAAACATACTATTAAAACAATCTTCAAAAAATTCTTGAAATTTATTTTTTCTTGAATAAGAACTAGGAACATTTTGAATAGTCACAAATATAACCATGCATTAGACAATTATTCAGGCTACTGCAAGTAATTATTTTATTATGCTTGCGCCGCTTTAGATTAACAAAAATATTTTGGGAGCGTAAGTACTTTTGGAGAAAATCGATCAAGAATACATTATGACCGTTAAGTATAGAAATATTACTGCAGTGTGACGTGATAAGTGTACGTTTGGCTTAGGAATGAGATTCTTTTTAGTTGAAATTTACATTCATTATTTTCAAGAAAGATCAAGTTCGTATCATAGAGAATTGGGATGCCGAAAATATTTAAAAAGACAATAAGATACCGAAAATAAGTGTGTGTATTTGCGTTTGAGATTACAATGCATAATACTTTAGTAGTGTGCAAAATGACTATTAGCACTTCTTCGAATTCGATTCTTCGAAAAGAAGTATTCAAAATCTAGGGCGCCGCTAGAGGTACAGCGATTGTCTTCTAACGCGGAGAAGTAAACGATAGCGATGTTTCGCCCTGAAGGAAAAAGAAGAGTCAAGCAACCGTCTTCGGGATACCTGTATTACGTCTGCAATCTTATTTATAGGTAGTCCAACATACAGTAGCAGGTTATCAAGAAAATATTCATACAAATGACTGAAAAGATATAAACATGACCGGAAAGAAGTCAGTAGCGCTCCGCTGCAAAATTTGTGATAAATATGAAAGAAATTTGAATTTTCTTTACGTAAATCGATGCATTCCCATTTTAAGCGTGTTTGTATTTTAAACCCAGAGATGTTAACTAATTAATAACTTCTCTTTAAAAGAAATAAAAGTCTTAAATACGTTTCATTGCATTATAAAAAATCGCATTTAGTAATTAATGTTCTATTTAGTAATTAACTTATAATCAGAGAAAATCTAGTTCATTTATGGAAAATTTAAATCAGTATATTATATGGATTGCCTACCTTTTTGTGGAATGGATTTCAACAAATAAACTTAGATGTTAATGATCGTTGCGTCCAACGCTCCATTACCAGTTAATGAGTAAACACTGCAGCCCTCTGCAATAAACAGTGTAAGTCAATACAACAATCTGATCAAGAAATCCAAACTTTTATGACGATCCAAAATATTTATCCAAACAAGTAATTGCGCTTATGGTCAGGTAAGCAGGTGGAAGAGCTGCCTCTAGCAATATTTTATTCTTAGAACAGCGAAGTAATTACTCGTAAAATTGTACATCGATTCACACATTTATTTCTTTAAAAACGGCCCTAACGTGCCGTAAAATAGTCTGCACTTCGGAAACAGTGTAAAGAGAAAGGAGCAGGCTCGGCAAGAGGGCATTCCACGTGCATGAAGTGGCGTCTCCTGCCTTCACTCTGCACCCGTATCACGCGAGCTGGTGAGGCGCAGCGCCTCCTGGAAAACCGCTTTGGCGATATGGCGTCCGAAGAGCGGTGGCGCCCCGTAGCGGCCACGCCGCCAGACACCTGCGCCGTTGCTTATACTTTCGTGCCATGTAAATACGGTACCGCCCGCGGCGCGGCCAGATAAGCGATGCACGAGGTGGGAGGACGGAGGGCCATGCAAAGGGGGAAGCGGAAATACTCTGATCGCGCCCAGCAGCTCCGGTCTGGTGCGAAAACGCGTCGCAGGGATGAAATTTTTGGGAAACTATCAAGCGCCACTTACGATTTTTCATAAAATTGAAATTGTTATTTTAAGAAACACTTGTTGAAATTCATGAACAATATCCCAACAAATTCAGAATTAAAGAAACAAACCAGAATACAATAGAATTACTGATACTGTGATAGAATATTTTCACAACTCTTTAGGTTTAATTGTAGTGGTACAATTGTGATGCCATTAGAAAAAGGGCGCGAGAGAGAAAATATACAGGATTTTTATGCAAATGTTTTAATACATTAATGTTACTACGGCTTAACGAAATGTGTTAAAAAATGGACGTCAACTTTTAGACTTCTTACGGTTTGCATTAATAAACAAAACACTAGTTACGCATTTTTGAAGAAAAACAAACAAACAAACTGAATAAATGCCGATTATTAAGTTACTTTTTTGCATTAGTACGGACGTTTTCCCAAACCGTGATTCTCTAGTGACACTATTAACCAATTTTATAAAACATTTTTAATTGTTTAATTTCGAACAAGAAAGTTGCGTTGGTAATTACTTACGTATAATATTAAACGAAAGTAAAGTAGATAATGGACCAGAAGTATTAACAAACCTTCAAACAAGAATCCTCTTCGCGCGAGGAAAGACGGCTTTCAAACGAGCTGCACCTCCATCTCCCTTTGTAAGCACAATTAGAGCAGACCGTTGTGTTACTGCACAAACAATGAGTCTCTAGCTGGTGGAGTGATTGGCTACTGGCACCGACGCTGGCTAATCACGCGGAGAGACCGCGTCGCCTCCGCCCCCCCCCCTTCCACCTGGTGCAGCCACGGATCGGCGCGCACCTCCCGACAGTCGACAGTCCGTTTGCGACCTCGCCCTTGTCCCAGTCTGCGACCTCGCTTTTCCTTCTTAGCATCGGGGGCGCCCTGACAGCAGGAAATAAGGGTGGATTAATGAGCAAGCAGATACACGGACGTGGTTAGGGCACCCTTCTGGATAGGGAGATCCCAACATTTTTAAAACGAATTTAAAATATGCAAATAATACTAAAATTGATTTTTAAATTTCAGAAGTCCTAGTTTATTTTCATATTCCTTTCAATTACTCATGTTCAATTTTATTAAGAGGATATATATTAATCCATTCTTGGCATGAAATTTACGCGTACAATGTCCGATCAAGAATTTATTTCTTCGCCTCCTCCTCCCCCCACTATTTTTGATAGAGTTCTGCTGTTGGTATTGCGACCACATACTGATCGGCGACTTGCAGAGACCCTAGAATACGCCTTGCGATAGTGAGCTTCCTCCCATGGAACGAGGAAAGAATGAAACGCCTAGTAGCACACCTGCAGTCACGCTCAACCTTCACAGCGAAGGAGTTCCTGGAGTGTTTCTCAATGCACGATATCCTTGTGACATTTGGGATCAGACGTGTAAACGTAAGTACGCAGCATGCTTAAAAGTACATCTGTAAAATAAGATGAATTGTTACAATTTTGAGAATACCTCTCTATGTAGCAAATAATGTAATCCGCAACATAATTTCACTCCGTGCAGAACCGACAAAACTGCTTTCTAGACCCTTTGAAGTTAAAACACGGCATTTGTTAGTTTAAATGTCTAAAAATGCAATTTACAAAATGAAATTTTGTTTTACTTTCCGACATATTTTTGGAGGTTTAGCTCATCTAAACCCTCTCTACAGAACAAGTTATCAGAAACTTCAAAAATTTTGACATCTACGAAAAATAAAATTTACTATTTCGATATCTATGCAATTCAATCGCACGGGATTAATCATTTCCGTTTGTTAATAAATGCTTCAACGTAGATTGAATTACTAAAAGTACAGTTAAGAGGAAAATTCGTACGGATCCAGCACATCATGAATGTAGTTGTTTGATATCTCTATTTGAAAGTCAAAACTGGCACTTATCGAGTTCGCCCAGACAGCTTCTATTCTCTTTTCCTCAATCTGACAATATGCAGTCCAGTCAATGGAAGAAATTTCGGCAAAGTCGCCAGGACAGACTCAACGTGGCCCTGATCGCGGCCCAGTGGTAGGTCACGCGGCGCTCTCAAGCGCATCGCCAACTTTTCGACTATAACGAACACTTCGTGGTAGCTTCTATAAAATAGTTTTCGTAAAACACACACACACACGCGCACACGCGGGCGCACCCAAAGCCAACTAAAATAGTTGAAGTGAGAGACACAAAAAACATTATTGAAAGAGTAAGAATGTGAATTATGAGCTGCTGCTGAAAATGGAGCATTACTACTACATTTTGGTTTGTATTCGTTAAGTAAACAAAGTTCAATTCCCCTCCCCCCCAAAAAATTTACA